ATGAAAGCTAAAAACAATTAATTATCAACGTTTTGTGAATCTGTAATGCACCTGACGTTCATTTAGTAAATTGAAATATGAAATTATGATTTTTAATTTTTCTTGTAATGTAATAATGTAAAATTGTCAATTTCGCCATAATTTTAATCATTGATAAACGCATTTGCAATTCCAATTATTAATAATATCAATTTTGTAATGATGTTACGTAAATGAAAGCTGAAACAATTAATTATCAACGTTTTGTGAATCTGTAATGCACCTGACGTTCATTTAGTAATTTGAAATATGAAATTATGATTTTTAATTTTTCTTGTAATGTAATAATGTAAAATTGTCAATTTCGCCATAAATTTAATTATTGAAAAACGCATTTGCCAATGCCAATTATTAATAATATCAATTTTGTAATGATGTTACGTAAATGAAAGCTAAAACAATTAATTATCAACGTTTTGTGAAATGAAATCTGAAACTATTTTAAAGGGAATCGATTGGAAATTTAACGCGCAAAAAGGAGGTCGTCATCATCGTCGTCACAGTGTGTCTTACGTCAAGGTGGTTCCAGGTTTGAGGAGACGCGCATGTTTCGCCCAGCTGACGCGCGGTGCGGCCGTACTGAACACGTCGGAGACGCTGTCCACGCCGACCTCCGACCCAGACCCTGAAGCCGTCAGTTCATCGACGCCGTTCACGTTCTCCACCTCCTCATCGCCGATCACGAATCTCTTGCTGTTCCTCCTGTTCAACGGTTTAGCCATCTTCGCGTCTACGTCGAAGCGCGTTCCACTGTACCGTCGTGCGTCCTCCGCCTCTTCATCGACTTCCACCAACACTTCGGCACTCTCACTAACGACCTGGTATCCAAGAACGTTCCGAAGAAAGTTCATCAAGTGCTCTGTTCGTTCTCCCACTCAATCACTCACTCACTATATATATTTTTCAGTGAATATTTCAGAATCGATTTGCGCGTGCGACGGGTGCCGTCCAGTCTCGGTATTTTAATTGCAAAAACCCCGAGCAGAAACGTGGACAAACGCGAAATTAAATCACCTTTTAACGAGTTCCCAAAACAGAAAAATTAAAAAAAGAAAGAAACAAACTTTCGAGACTTTCCCTATCTCAATTAGTCGTAGTTACTTTAGCGACTAATACAATTGTCATCGTTGTACAGGTAAAAAGAACACGCATGTGAATCGAAAACTCGAGACGGGCAGGACACGTCGAGGCGCGGTCGAAGCGTTCTACTTCCACACTGACTCTGAATCGAAGCGAAGCGAAGAAACGGAGCGACGAGAGTAGTGCAGATCACACACCACTTTCCATCTCCGTCCTACATGTTACGATGATGATTTTGATGGTGATGATGATGAAACGAGCGAGGTGGGTTTCCGCGCTTCCAATCGAAATTCGGAGGTAGCATTAATAGTAGTAGTAGTAGTGGCACAATGTATAAAAATACGAGGTCGCACGTTGATCGTGTAAAACGCGTCGACCGGTCGAACGCGAATGCGCCGCCTCCGCACTCCTCAACCACCACGACGATGTTGACGACGACAATGCGCGGGGGGCGGTTACGATCGGCTGCTACGCAACGCGCGATCAACAGGTGACCTGGTGATGCGGCCTACAACTGTTCCCCTAACTACGTACAAACAATAATAGTCATCACCAAGGCAACATCTTCCAAAACAAACTTCCCCCAAAATTCACACAACTCGAACAAATGGGGTGAGTTGAAGTTGCATTCATCAAATATTGCAATTGAATATTAAAAGAACGTAATTTTACTGAAAAATCAGTTGTAAAGTGAAACTTTTCGATCATTAAAATCCAATCGAAACTAATTTCAATGTTACGTAAATGTTTTCGTTTTAAAATAAATCAAATGCAGTCTTCGTTTGTTATTTCCATGCGTTACTCGATAATTTGCGACTACTTAAAATTAATATGGAATTTTCGTGTTTTGTTTTTTTTTACGATCCAATTGATTGCTAAGTAACGTTCAAAACACTAATGTTTCTATAGCGACTCGAAAAACAAAAATATATCTATTTAACTTATCGTTGCAACAATCGGTGGTTACGTAATCTCAGGAAAGAGAGAGATTAAAAAAGAACGATAATTTGGAAAATACAAAGTTGGAAAATACAAGCAATTTCGCTGAACAATTATAAAGCAATACATGCAGTTTTTACGATTGTATTGTTAAGAAATGTAATATGTGCATTGCTATTATGCAATTTAAACAATTAGTAGACCACCAACTTTGCTTCGCAGTAGTATTTTGGTCTAAAAAATCAGATGCCCTAAGGGTAATATCATCCGGAATGAAATGACTAGAACTTGGCAGTTAAATAACAATTGTTGTGTTTAATTGTGCGGCAGACCTCGAAACGATGATAAAAACAGAAACGTTTAAAAACTTTATGTTTATCCGAACAAATGGAAATAATTGTATGCGATTAAAAAAAAAAACTTAACGATGTATTTGTTACGAAATCAATAAAAAATTTATTGGAATTTTACTGTTTTTTTTAAACATTAATTCAATGCCAATTCCGCTTAAGCCTCTTATTTTTACTGATCTTTGTATCAATTGCTTCAACTTTCCTAAATATGTAATGGTGACAACTAAAACTAATCTAGCGCACTTCAATTTATTTACAAAACTTTATCAAGATCAGTCAAACAAAACAATTCGAACTTTGTGGAAACAAACGTGTGTTTTGTGAATGACGAGAAGAATCTAGGAGTCGTTACAATAACAAAAACAATCGAGAATCGAATGTCGCCGCGTCCTTAATTATCGGAACGGGCGACCTCCAAGCAAACTAAATCTATTTATTATATTAAATGCCGAAAGACTTGCCAGAATGTGCAGTAGCAGCAACAAACAAATTATAATTAAATCAATTGAAAAAAGAAAAAAAAACTAAATCAGAAATGAATCGATTGCACACTGTGATTGTGCAAAATTATGCAACGCATATTTATGAAAAGAAAACAATGAAAAATATCAATCTATGTCTCAATAAAATGCAATAAACATAATTTTAATAGTTGTTATTGATATTGAACTGCGTCATTTTTTTTTCTCTCCAAACTATATTAATTATTGAAATGCACATTTTCTCACATCGATTCTAAACAACTTTGTTATGCACGTTAATTATTAACGGTCCAATTAAATGTATGTAACTGTGCGTCAATCGATCGAGTTTCGCATTTAAATCGAATGATGAACGTTTAAAAAGTGATTGAATTTAACAAACGTTTCAATTTGAAAGTTTACTTTTCTTTTTGTCAATTGAGATAAAATTTGCGAGCTGTCATTGTGACAGTGACATAATCGTGAAATTTAACAACTTGTGTACTGTCAAAGTGACATAAACTTGTTTTGTTTAACAATAACACTCAAATGTTTCAATTTTGAAAGTTTACTTTTCTTTTTGTCAATTGAGATAAAATTTGCGAGCTGTCATTGTGACAATGACATAATCGTGAAATTTAACAACTTGTGTACTGTCAAAGTGACATAAACTTGTTTTTTTTTTGTAGGTGATGAAACAACTGCGATTATATAGAGAAAAAAAAATGATTGTAAATTTTTAATTACCAAGGTGAACCTGTTTCGAGATTTAGTGGATGAAACTGGAACTTACTTTAGTCTTCTACGTTTCTCTATCAGTGCTGTTCTCTGTTCCGAGGTGAGACCTCCTTGTCCATTCGATGATGAGACTGGGGGCACGGTCGTCGCCGTTTCGATTCCCGAAGGAAAAGTGTCCTCCGCCTCCTCACGGGCCTCGTCGCCGAGGGTCCATTGCACCGCCTCCTCGCTCATCTTCACCACGACGTCGCTCAGATCGACGTCTCCGCTCTCTCCGTCCTCGAGGAACACGAACTCCTCGGACCCGCTTCCGGTGTCTGTATCTGTGCTACCCTCCACGGTCTCGCTTCTCGCCTCCACTGATTCCGAAACTGCAAACAGTCACAACAATAACATTAACTTGAGATGAAAAAAAAAAACAACGATGAAGATGATGATGATAAAAATGAAGATATTTGATACCTGACATCACGTAGATACCCGAGTCCATTAACCTTAAGCCGCATGTAAGGTAGAAGAAAAAAAAAACAGAGATTGGTGAAAATTGAGAAAGAATCCACAGAAATCAAGGTAAATATGACTTTTGAACTTCAATTGACAGATCACGTGTCAATGTCAAAGCTCATTTCAGACATGGCGGAAAACAAAATGGTAACCAAACAGTCGACATTCACAACAACAACAACAACAACAAATATCATTTCCAACATGGCGAAAAACAAAATGGAAATCAATCAAACAATTTGACAAAAGAAAAAAATAATTGAAAATCAATCGAAATGACAGAGATATTTTCCGCGTAATAAACAAAACACGTTCGAACAAAATCTGCTGACTGTTGCGATAAGCTCTAGTGTGGAGGTCAGCGGGGAACACCTCAAAGTGACTTTACAAAAAAAATAAATAAACACAGAACGTCCGATTACATAAATCGAATTGGAGCATTTTTATCTTTCAAGAAAACATAAAATTATCAATAAACGCAACACTTTTCAATAATTGTCAATTATTAATTGTCATAATTATCAACAACAAAAAAAAACTATGTCAATTGTTTCTATGTAAAAGCAATAGATAATATTGGTAAAAACTATAGAAACAATTAAAATTAAAATTCGAAAACGAATCAATTTAGTCTGAATTGAAAACAAGTCGAGCTGTTACATAATTTTTCAAAAAAAAAATGCAAAAATTGTTATCGGTGACCGAAGAAGAAAACACGTCTTCTTATCTGCAATTACTATTTTTTGGGCGAAAGCCGTGGATACGTGACGCAATTAAATACGACTCGAATTTTGGGTATCGGGCAAATGGACAGGAAAAAAGGTGTTATCTTATTTTGGGATCAAATCAACAAGGCGATGGACGTCATTCAACAATCAATTAATTAGATTTGAATATACGTATTTCATTACGAAATTCTCTCGATTTCCTACTGTCAAATTGACAGTGACATAACAGACAATTTGCGTTGTTCTGTCAGAATGATGTAACTCTTCAATATTGACGAACAAAATTATAAGTTTTGTATTGTAAAGAAACATTAACGATTTACAGAAAAAAAAAACAGTTTGAGCTCTTTTGTTGTTAAACAAAATTGTGTTTAAACAAAAAATTGAACAGGTATGTTTGGTTGCATAAGGCAGTAAACATTCTATATAAATGTGTAAAGCAAATAACGTGAGTAAATTGCAATGAACACCTTTGGACTGCGATTGTTAAGTCAACATCTCAGTGGAGTCAACAGATTTATCATCAGAGTAAACGAATATAAATTTAAGAAAAAAAAAACTATGGAATGCGTCAATTTGTTATGTAAAATTGATTTGTTATTCGTTATTAAATGTACAATTGTTCTGTTGAAATTGTCGATATTCGTGTCTGGATAAAGGATTCGTTAGAAATTGAATGAGTAATTAAATAATTACCTGGTGTCTCGTTTCGGAAACGCCGGAACAATTGTTGCAGGAAAATGGCTACGAATAGAGCCAGCAGGAAGAATAACATAAACTGCAACAGAAGAGAAAAGTTAGAAAACGTAATTGAATTGGATTCGGACAAAACTCGTACTCTTCCTCTCGCATAAAGTTAGTACACTTTGCACTTTGAAAATCCGAATAAATTGATCTAATTGAGAACTTCTCCTTCGTCTTCCGCGAACTTGAACTAAAGCCTCGACGTCGGATCGATGTGACTTATATCAACTAAATTTCGATAAAAAGCGCGCTACAAATTTTTTTTTGTTCTCTCTACACTCTCTCAAAATTATTATTATTATTATGTTGTTTCTGTCGCTCCTCTTGGGAACAGAGTGGAAAAAGAAGAAAAAATAAACAAAACGATGATTGGCGATGTGTGTTTGTGCGCTATCTGACCCCGCTCGCTGCATGATTATTATTATTGGTCTGATTATTACTCGATTACCTAACGATAACGACGATAAAGTTACGCGAAAATCACTATTCACCGTAGATACACACACACACCACGATCAATTGTTTTGATTTTGTTTTGTCCGTTTCTAAGCTTCCTACGATATAAATTGGATAAATTTGTCGAATAACGATGATTTGCCTTAATCGAGTGGATCAGAGCACCTGCGATTCGCTATCGACGAATAGTTCTTTCGAAAGTCTTGCTGCTTGGCTCATGGATTGGTCATGGCAGATAACGACGAGATAAGCGCAAGAAAAACAAGAGTGTTTATCGAACGAGCTAATGAAATTGTGTCGAATTGCAGTTGGCTCTATTTATAGACAAACATTCGATTCAGAAATTGCAACGATCTTAACGCTGCTTCTTAACTCATTCTTTTCACTCCTGAAGAACTCCAAAGAATGAATATGAAAGATGATATATTCTTGTGGTTTCATCGGTTTGGCTGTAATTCGTGTTTAAAGTTGAAAAAACGTTGAAAAAAGCAGTGTTTTCACATTTCATTGATTATCTCAGAAACTATAAAAGATAGAATGGATTGAGATCCAAAGGATGCATATGAAAGCTGAATGTTTGNGGAATGTATCGATTGTTCATATATTCTTATGGTTTC